AGGATATTGCGCGCCAGGAAAGATATTGTTACTTCATGCTGTACGCGAGATTATTTATACATCGACAAACGCGATGCTTTGTTTTTATTAAGTCGTAAAATCCAAATTGATCGAGCGAAAACGGAGGAGTACGCACAGCGCCACTTGACTGTTTGCGATGGTTATATGTATACACATACAAATTTGAAAACTTTCACCGACGACGACATCATATAGAGGAACAGCCAATTATTTACGCAATACATAAGGCGCACCCACGTTCGCAGCGGATTCTCGCGTGTAAATAAAATTGATGCCCGAAGTTAATTTCGCCCGATGAGATTCCCGAACGAATTTCACATCGTAAAACCCGCTTCTTTTTCTCTTTTTCTTCGCCGTTATCCGTTTAAAAATCTCTGACTTCGTGCGATACGCGGTGAAAGCATTTCCGCAATATACGCTCGATGCTACTTGGCCACCCGTAGTTACGTCATTTTGTTTGCAATAATGCTTAGAAGGCGAATATCAATTGACGTGCCATCTATGCGCGAAATGAAAATGCGCTGCGGATAAAAAAAAAAAGCCAACAAACTAACGGACTTTGCGCGTTCGCTTTTGTCCCGGCGATCGGCGCGGCTTTAAAGCTCGGAGGCTGTATGTCGCAATGCGACGCGGTGGCGACTCTCTCTCCCTCCCTCCCTTCCTCCCCGCAGAGGGGAAGCTAACAAATGAAATTCTTCTCTGCGGCGCGAGTTTGGCTCTCGAGAACGCGGCGAACGACACCGCGAGAAAAGAGACACGATCGCATCCCTACCGCTCCGACAACGAGGTTTGCACGAGTCGCGCTGTACTATCGATTGCCTCGCGCGCGTAACCCTTGCGCGTGTGCGCGTGCACGGCCCGACTGGTTGTTGCCCTTGCTGCGCCGAGTTGGCGGCGTAATCGACGGGGGCGCGAGGTTGCGCGAGCGTAGGCTCTCCTTTGACGCTGCCGCTGCTGCTGCTGCCGCCGCCGCCGCCGCCGCGTGTGTGCGCAGCTGCGTGCTCGCTGTACATCTACGCGAACGCGCGTGAAGCCCGCGTCGGAGATTCGCGCGCTAAATGCATTCGCGGGCGGCGACGGATGGATTTCCCGGTTTTTGCGGCTGGAGCCGTCGCTCTAACGAGCGAACGCGCGTCTGCGGGCTTTATCGTCGAGCTAAATCTTTATTACTGAGATATACTACACGTGGTAACATCCGCTTCTTTTTTATTTATTAGTTTGTTTTTTTACTAGAAAATGTGAGTGTATGTTTTTAAATTACCGTATGGTTTTCCGATCTTCAAGCCGCGGTAGAACATTGTTCTCTCTTCAATGTCAAATTACAATGATCCTCGACGATTTCGAAAATAATGTTTTTTATTCGTTTACCACATCATCACTCGTATATAAGCACTGCAACTCTACTAATCAACCATTGCGGCATCGAGCAATGAAAAGAAAAAAAACTCGCTACATCGGTCAATGTTGATTTTCAGAACACTCCATCGGACAAATATCCAAGTTTTCTCTCCGAGTTGCATTGGGCTGCCGTTAGAAAGTGTTTTCTTATGTAAATCAGCTGCGCGTCTTCATCAGCCTCGTGATTCGCCAGCTTTCGAGAAAAATAAGATCCGTCCTCTGCGGGTTTCCCACGCGGGGAGAAAGAGCGGTCCTGTTCCTGCAACGGAAATGCATGCAGCCTCACGTTTTTCCAAAACCCTCAATTATCGTTCACACGGCCAGTGTCCGATTGCTTTCGAAGTCATGCAAATGTAGCCTAGAGAGGAAGTGTCGTGACGACGACTGCTCCGCTGTTCGTGTGTACGCGCGCGTGTGTGGTCGTGTATAAATGAGTATTCTTTGTAATTCATCGTTGCGAGAGATAAAGTCGCACCGTGTAAACACACAGCCGAAATATATTCCTTTGTTCGGCGGTGCGTTCAGTTTTTGTTTTATATTTCGTTTGAAAGAGAAAATGAATTTCCATATCGAGTTTGACGTATTTATTGAATTACAGGATTGAGTGGAATGTCGATTACCAACGCGCCGATGCTTCGAGAAAAACAACTGCGTTACAACACCTCGTCGTCGTCGCAGTTCTCGGCTCACGCATCACGAATGATCATCGGATTGGCATCGATAGGCTCTCATTGAACTAATAACAGCTATCTCGGCGATGTTTAACGTTTACGGTTAATCGAACGAAAAATACAGGAACCCATTAAAAGCGTCAAGATGCGAAACCAATAGTGAAGTGGACATTCGATTTCCGGAGGGCTGGCACACACACGTGTGTGTCTGTATGTGTCCCTAGCCATCCCCCATTGTTCCCAGAGAACTTTGACAGTCTCGTGATTTATGAGCTCGAACGTGTGCGACACTCCTACGCTTTCCTCTCGGCGTTTATCCCGTCGAGAGAGTTTTTCGCGGTATCCCCTTAATGGATGCCTTAATTATCATCCGCTCATTGATTTTTCTCTCCCCTTGGATGATTTATAAAGCAACTTAGCTGTTGAAAAATAAAGAAAAAAAAGCCGTACGCAAGGAGTCGTTGACACTTGCTCATTTGGAATGCCACGCGTGCCGAGGTTGGATAGTGATCAAAGTGACTACAAATGATGTTACACGTCGCTCCTTGACGTGCGTGCCAACACTAGCTGGCGCAGCTGCCACTGCAGCAGTTGCATTGCTCGTTTTCTCGACAAGGGGATTTCGAAATAATCTCCGCTGAATTTGAGTTGCGTCGCGCGCGAAAAATCGAGAGGAAACTCGCTCTCTCGCGAGCGCAATCGGAGCATTAAAGCGCAACCACTAGCGAAATAGAAAGGAAGTGGATTCGGGTCTGCTTCACTGGTTTTTATCGGGAATTCGTCGATATGACAGCGGCTGATTGCTTTGACTGCCGGCCCTCGCGTTTTTATTGGGCAGCGGCAGCAGCGATCGATAGAAAGAATTTGCTCCGACGCGCGTTGCGCCATTGCCTAAAATGGGCCCAAGCGAGCATGCCGTAATATGCGGAATGGCTTTCGGATGGAATATAAATATTTGGCGCAAAAGCGCGGCGATTCGGACGCCGAGTCACGTAATGATTTTTTGCTCCCCTCCCTTCTCGGCCTCGGCGTCGTCGACGTGCAAGCAAGCAGAGTTATAGCGACTTCCGAACTTTTAATGGCGCGGCCATCGTCTGGAAAGTCAACGCCGTGTCGGGACGAGCTCTGACGCGTTGATGCACCAATACTGGAACTAGATGCTCGTGTTACGCGTCGAGATCAAAACAGAAGCGCGAGATGATAAAAATGAATGAGAGATAACGCTGGCGGAAACCCTCTCTCTCTCTCTCTCTCTCTTTCGCGAGATGCGTAGCTGCACGTACAGACGTCTTATCAGCAACGACGGCGATGAAGCACTCGCAGCTGTCGAGCGTGACTAAACAATCGGTTCGCGATCTCCGACGGGACGAGCGGGAAAAACGCGCCGCGCGCGCACAGCCTCGGATTCGATGTGCCACGAATGCTCTCAGCTTTGCGCGCTCGAAACGGCGATAAATTAACGGATGCTCGGTCCGAAAGTCAATCCAACGCCATCTCACCGCGCGCTTCCTCGAAGTGTACAGCTCGGCCACCCGGCGCAACGTAAAACTCGCGCGCGACGTCTAACAATCTCTCCGCCGAGCGATGTCGCGGCGCACTTCCGCATCCGTTGCCGCGGTTGCCGGTCGAGATTTCGCGCTGTTCCTGCGTATTGCTGCGCGCGACGGGGTTGGTTTTACGCAAAGGCCGCGCAGCTTCGCACGGCAATCGCGGATGCGTGCGCTCGAGCGATCTCTCGAAAAGCCAATAGTCGGGTCGTGAGCGCAAATGAAAATTGCGTCTCTCCCGGGAGAGAGACGGAACAATTTACATGGGCGCGCGTGCGTGGCGAGTAACGAACGGCTTTTATCAGCCGCACAATTGCCAATTAGCAGTCGCATGACAATTCGTCGTGTGCAGCAGCGTCGTTACGAAGCGAAGGATCGCGGAATATACATCTCTAATAGAGAAGTGAGTTAAGGTCGCGAGCGTAAAAGGCTTCACCGTCCAATCAGACTCGCTCGCTTCGAGACGACCACGAGAATGATGATCAGAAGAGTTTGCTGCCAAGGCCGTCATTCATTTGGAAATTAGCCGTATAAGAGACAATGCCAATTGAAAAAGGCCATTCGACCGACGGAATATATACTTAAGATGGCAGCAGGCCTCCGCAAAGGCCGATACGAAAGTCCCCGTGTGCTTGTGTGCGCGCGCCCCGTCTTTTTAGCTTGTGTAACGTCGCCACGAGCGTGAGAGAAGCTTTTTCCTCTTTTTATGGCATGAAGATATGGAAGAGACTTTGACGCACTTGTCCGAGTGCGATGCTGTGGCGTTTTAGGTTTTACATTGCTCTTATGGTCGGTTCTTTGACGCCCTTTGTGCGACACGAAAGCTGCTTTTTTACGCGAAATATTAACGGGGGGAAAATTCATATTACAATTTTGCAATTGCAAAGAATTTTATGCCACGATATTCGAGAAATATTACTAAAAATATAAATGATATTGTATACTCGACGAGAATGGTGGGAAATGAAGTGTTCCAGTAGAAAGGCGCTCATTTCATTGACCTTAAAAATCGAAAATAAGCTCGCGCTGACGTCAAGTCATCGACGAGTTTCAAACTATCCGCATAAATTCCACTAATAAATTTATCAGCGAGTTTATTTTCGTTTTTTCGTCGCCTGTGCGAATTAAGCCGCACCTGTCAGCAGAGTCAGAATCAGAGAGAGAGAGAGAGAGAGAGAGAGAGAGCGAATCTGCTTGGGGCCACATAATGAGAGAAAAAGTATGCGCTCACGTAAGCAAATATCTCTTATTACTCGGGCAAAAGCGGGCGCGCATTCTCTCACTCTCTCGAACTGTGGCTTTAATACTCGACGACTTAACTGAGCGGAGGACTGTACGCTCCATGTGTCACTTTGTGTTTCAGGCCTCGATGGATCTGCCACCAGACAAGGCGAAGCTGCTCAAGCAGTACGACAACGAGAAGAAATGGGACATCATATGCGATCAAGTGAGTCTCGTGCGCGCATGCCTTCTTCGACACCGACGCGCCCGCGCGCGCGCCGCGTCGATTGTGTTACGATCGTCAAACAATCGCGCGCGGCCTTTTCGTCATCGCGTCGTCGCGCCGCGGTGCCTATCGCCGTTTCCATTCTCTCTCCGTGACCGTCTTGCAGAACGTTCCTTTTTTTTTTGTTTTTTCTTGTTTTTTCGTCTCTCGCCGTAAGAAAGAGAACGATCTGTCGTTTGTCTTCCGCCGGTGAGCAAAGGCGACGAACGCGCGCGTGATCCTCGGGAATGCGAACGGCCAGTTCGCTAATTGACGCGGAAAAAGCAGTTAGCCGGCGTCACGCGTAATCGGGATAATCGTTTGTTGCTAATCGTTAACGATAAACGAAACAATCGCATTCTTCCGCACAAGGTAAACAATTAGCTTCGTGTGCAGCTCCATTGTTGATCGATTAATAGCCTCGAAAAGTCCTCGCTAACGATCCACGTACCGGAGGTGTCGCAATGCTTCCGCGAACAATTGCTAAACCCACGGGCGCGGACGTTATTTTCCAACGATACCGAACGCCGAAGCCGACGATTAATTTGTTCGTCGCCCGGAAAAGTGAAAGTTGGTGCTTGACAGAGAGATCATCGAGGGCTGCACGCGTAACGCGTACCTACCATCGGTGGCAGTGGCTTTCTCGGGTTAATCGCTTCTGAAAGAGAAAGAGAGAGAGAGAGAGAGAGAGAGAGAGAGAGAGAGAGAGAGAGAGAGAGAGAGAGAGAGAGAGAGAGAGAGAGAGAGAGAGCGAGAAGAATGACTCGCCTCGCATACGTAGATATAAGTCGGGCAGAGTGTCGAGGCGCGATTCGGTCATTTTTCGAGCTCGTTCCTCGCGTCGTAGCTTTCAGTACCGATGGCGCGTAACGGCGATTCAAAACAAATGGTGCACGGATTATTTTTGCAATTGATTTGTTTTCGCTGTCAATTTATTGTTAGAGAAAATTCAACGCGGCAGGGAACTTGTTTGAAAGTCAATGAAGCGGATCCGGCTGCAGTGCGAAACACAGACGAGCAGCGCTCGAAAGTGTGAATGAAAGAGATATACACATCTGTGCGAGAGATGCAGCGGGCAAATAAAGCTCGGAGCTCGTAGTAATATTGAGATGTTCACGCGGTGTAGGATGATGCTTCTCTCTCTCTCTCTCTCGGTCTCTCGCTCTCTTGCTCTCTTGCTCTCTTTCGGAAAAGGGCGTCGGCAAAGTCGGCGATGTAGAGAGAGAAGCAAGCATGTGGGTAACACGAGACGGATGTAATGCAAGCCGCGCGCTATTATACCGGAGATGCATGCCGAAATAAGAAAAAAAAGAGTGCGCAGCATCCCTTTTCTCATGCTTGCCTCTCTCTCTCTCTCGCCTCGTTGTGTAGGTATATATCTTCCGAGAATCCAGCACGTAATTTTTCACGTGCGTCTGTGGCGCCGTCAAATTAACACTGTTGGTACATTCAAGGCTACGTCGTGAAAGATCCGTACTAACGTTCACTGGTTCTTGCAGGAAAGGGTACAAGCTAAAGATCCACCATCGCACTACCTGGCGAAACTGCGGACTTACCTAGATCCCAAAGCATCGAGAAGTCATCGAGTAAGCAGCTTCCTCAACGTTTCATTTACTTTTTACGTTTCTCGTTTATTATTATTAGTTTTTCTTCGCTTTTTTGCTCGAATTATAAAAAACGAGGACAAAAATCGTTACTAATCGCAGATAACACAGTCGTATCGTTTCGTTATTATGCTCTTACAGAAGCGAAAGATGGTCGGCGAGTCGACGTCCACCCAAGTGCTGCGCGACCTGGAGATTTCCCTGCGCACAAATCACATCGAGTAAGTACCACATAACTGTATCATTAAGCATCCCCCGCTCCAGCCTTGCTTCGCTCTCTTTTACGCAACACCCGCTTGTTTGTTTCCTCGTCTGGAAATGTGCATCGCGCCTCCTTTTCGCTTTCGTTGGACCCGAGAGAGGAAAACAACACCTTGACCCTTCGGCCCGAATTACGCTCGCGCGCGCAATATCTCTCCGGTCAATTTTAATTGGTCCATGCCAAAACCTGGTCAATTCTGAGTTTACTGCCACTGATTGATCTCTGATGATCTCTGAGTTTCGTGTGCAAAAATAGCAATCTAATATCCAACTCACTTTGCTTTCAGATGGGTAAGGGAATTCCTGGACGAGGAGAATCAAGGCCTCGACGCCCTGATAGACTACCTAAGCTTCAGATTACTGATGATGCGGCACGAGCAGAGACTGCTCGAGTCGCGCACCGAGTCCGAGGAAAAACTACAGTCGAGCAGTGAGTTCAGTTTCATGCGCACACGGCCATGTGTTTATATACGTTGTTCTTTTCTTCACGATAAGGCCAATCATTGGATAAGAGCGCTTTTTACGAGACACGCTTCGAAGGCCCTGATAAAAATTCGTCGCGCGTCCTTTGAAAACTAGATGCCAGCTATGAATTCAGCGAACGAGAGGCGTAATTCACGAACGCGTGCCTATGCGATCTTCCGATAGATCAATTGATATTGCTACGCGGTTGCAAATGAGAATTGACTCGCATGAGTCACGCGACGACGGGACACGCCTACCTCGTCTGCAGAAAACTTGAGAAAAGAAATAATGATAAAGCTTTGGTCTGGATTGCAGCGGGCACAGGTGAGAACTCGCCGCTAAATAATGGATGCTTGAGGCCACCGCTGCACGAGCTGAAAGACAGTCCGGGTGTGAAGCGGCGCTCGAGGCATGTTGCACGGCTTAACATGGGGGAGGCCAAAGACGACATTCACGTCTGCATACTCTGCATGCGCGCCATCATGAATAATAAGGTGAGTTCTCTCTTTTTTTCCTTTTTCGCCGTCCGAACTCCGAAACGAATGTCCGTCGCGCTGTTGCATCGCGATAAATCTCGCACCGTTTGCTTATCATTCTGATTGATGAATTGTCTCTGATCCTGCGATGAATGGTCTTGCAGTACGGCTTCAACATGGTGATCCAGCATCGAGAGGCCATCAACTGCATCGCGCTGAGTCTCATGCACAAGAGCCTCAGGTAATCATACTTTTTGTGAATCTACCCGTGTGCGGACGACGACGACGACGACGACGACGACGACGACGACGACGACGACGACGACGACGATGACGGCAGCGGCGACGGCGGCTGCGGCGACGGCGTCACGGTAATTTGCATTGTCTTCCATAGAACGAAAGCTTTGGTGCTGGAGCTGCTGGCGGCGATATGCCTGGTGAAGGGTGGACACGAGATCATACTGTCGGCCTTCGACAACTTCAAGGAGATCTGCTCGGAGAGACGGAGATTCACCACCCTCATGGAATATTTCACTCAGTACGATAGCTTTCACATCGAGTTCATGGTCGCATGCATGCAATTCGTCAATATCGTGGTGCACTCGGTCGACGACATGAACTTTCGGGTGCACCTGCAGTACGAATTCACCAAGCTCGGCCTCGACGAATATCTCGAAAAGTTGAGGCACACCGAGAGCGAGGATTTGCAGGTTCAAATCTCGGCTTATCTGGACAATGTGTTCGACGTTGCCGCCTTGATGGAGGACAGTGAGACCAAAACTGCTGCACTCGAGAAAGTCGCTGAATTAGAAGACGAGCTTGGACACGTAGGTTTTTGTCAATTCGTTGCTCTCCACTTGAGCGATACTTATAGTGCGTTGCGTTCGTTATAGGCGCATGAAAGGATGGGTGAGCTGGAGCGAGAATCGCTAGCGAAATTAGCTGATCTCGAGACTGAACTAGGCGCGATGAAGGTCGAGTATGCCGAAGCACTCGAAGCTCGTCGGCAAGTCGAGGAGGAACTCACCAATCTCAAGCGTCAGAAGCAGGATTCGGCCAGGAGGCAGAGCGTATTGGAAAGCAAAATTCAAGAGCTGGAAACTCTCACCGGTACTCTCACTAAGAATTCTTCGAGTAAGACATTGCAGCATTTTCGACAATTCGAAAATATCGTACGAACGACGCTTACTCATCGTCTGATTTACGTTGCGCAGTCGCTATGCGAAATGGATCGGCATCGACGTCACCGGTGCTGGATGGACCTCTATTAAACGACAACTCACCTTCGCCGCAGAACGAAGTTCATGCACCTGTGCCGGCGCCACCACCTCCGCCGCCTCCACCTTGTCCACCGCCGATGCCTGTCGATTCAATGATGGGCAACCATAAACCGCCACCTCCCGCTCCGATTCCACCACCACCTGCGCCCGGTATGATGCAGGCTCCCGATGGTGCGATGACCATCAAACGAAAGGTAAGCATATACATCACCTTGTTCGATGATATTTGAGAAGCTGAGGATGACGACTTCTGTTCCGATTACAGGTTCAAACGAAATACAAACTGCCGACATTGAATTGGATAGCTCTCAAACCGAATCAAGTGCGAGGTACCATCTTCAATGAACTTGACGACGATCGATTGCACAGCTACATCGACTTCACGGATTTCGAGGAGAGATTTAAAATCGGCTTGGGTGCACATCTCGCCAATGGCAACAGTGAAATCGATGGTCTTCAAAGCTTTCCAAGCAAACGCTTCAAGAAACCCGAGAACGTCTCGCTCTTGGAACATACGAGATTGCGAAATATCGGTGAGTTGTGCTGATTTTTCAGCTTTGAGAAAAGGCATATAGTTATGTGATGATGCTCGAAAGTACGTCGATTTTAATTATGAATTATAATCACATGCTTTTGCAGCTATCTCGAGAAGGAAAATGGAAATGCCTGTGGAGAAAGTTATCGCTGCCGTTAATGCGCTGGATCTCAAAGTTCTTTCGCTTGAGAATGTGGAGTTGTTACAGAGAATGGTGCCCACGGAACAAGAAGTGAGAATTTCGTCGCATTTACATTCAAATTCTGTCGTAATTGTTTGATGGTCGAATTTAATGTTGATTGTTCTTACAGACGAAAGCATATCGAGAATATATATGCGAGAAAAAGAACGTGAATCTCCTAACCGAAGAAGACAAATTCCTGATGCAACTTGGTAAAGTCGAAAGAATCTCAACGAAATTGTCTATCATGAACTACATAGGAAACTTCTTCGACAATGTGCACCTCATTGCTCCTCAAATACATGCTGTGATATCTGCATCGAACTCAGTCAAATCTTCGAAGAAATTAAAGGCTGTTTTAGAAATAATTCTTGCCTTCGGAAATTATTTGAATAGCAGTAAGCGTGGTCCTGCATACGGTTTTAAGCTACAAAGTTTGGATACATTGTTAGATACAAAGTCGACCGATAAACGTATGTGCCTTCTGCACTATATTGTGGCAACTATAAGAGTGAAATTTCCCGAGCTCGTAAATTTCGAATCTGAACTGTTATACATCGATAAAGCTGCAACTGGTAAATAGATGAAAACTTAGTTTGATAATATTACAATCGTGAAATTCAAAGTACTAATTTCTTATTTATACAATGCAGTTTCTCTTGAGAATGTAACCACCGACGTGCATGAATTAGAGAAGGGTATGGATCTTGTTCGCAAAGAGTTTGAACTTCGAGGCAAAGAAAAACATAACACTGTGCTGCGAGACTTCCTTAATAATTCCGAAGAAAAATTGCGACGATTAAGATCTGATGCTCGTGCTGCTGGAGACGCCTTTAGGGAATGTGTTGAATTTTTTGGTGAAAGTCCTAGACAAGCTGATGCTAATACATTCTTTTCTTTGATTGTTCGGTTTGCAAGAGCATTCAAGGTATGCCCAATAAAAGTCTAATATTCACATTTCCTTCATAATTTGTTTATATGTTCATATCTATATATATTAATCGTAGGCTGCAGATCAGGAAAATGAACAACGTCGAAGGCTAGAGCTCGCAGCAGCAGAAGCTTTGAATACGTCGGAGGAAGTTATTAAAAGAAATAAGTTGAATCAGAAAAAACAACAGGTATCTGAAAAAGTATTTTCGTTAAATTAAAAAAAAATATTTTTATGCATGCACACTTTTCATAACAATACAAATTTATCAATCAATACAGATGTATGAATTATTATTTGTAGCTAATTTAGTGTATTTTCTACTTGAACGCTTAACTTTAAGAAACAAATATTAATTTTTTTTTTGAACTACATCTCCTGTCAACATCAATGACGCTATTACTTATACTTTAAAGATTTTTATTAACATAGTTTGTAAGACTGTGCTATATTAAAAAAAAAAGAGTAATTACCTAATTGTAACGTATTTTACTTTATGTAGATTAACTTGCTGAATATAAATTGTTGCTTACTTGCTTTTTACTAAACTACTATGTAGATATTGCATGTTTAGACTTTCGTTTTTTGGTTTTACTTACTCACTCTTACTACACTTACGTAAATCACATGGAAATCACTGAAAAGTTTCTAAGCACGTAGGAGGTATTACTTTATTAAAAAATAATCTAAAAACTATTCATAGTTGTGATTTAAATTTTCCGAAAAGGACATCATTAATATTAGTGTATTACTCCAAAAAGTGAAATTAAAATAAAAATAAAATACGGGATTTTTGTTTACCTGTGCACGTTGTGAAATAGCATGAATTACGTCGGGGGTTCAAAATGAGTGTGCAAATTAAGTTAAACGATTGTAATCAACGGTCGTTTAATGTAAAGTATAGTTTGGTATTGTGAAAGTGAAAAATTAAAATTGTATTTTTTGTTACATATTTATTCGGACTTAAAGTCACCGAAATTATGGTGTAATTCAAACAAGTCATTGTTACATCGACATCTAAATGAACTGGAGCTCAAATCGTAACAATGTATAAACAAATCACAACATGTAAGTTTCTCCTCACTAATAACCTGCTCTAAAAATAATTCTAAAACAGAAGTTAGTATTTAGAGATTGCTGACTTATTTACACAATGCACTATATTTGCAATGAAAATTTTTGATAACTAATTGGTTGAAATTGAATTACTTATCAAATCACTACATTTTAGCACAAGTGAAACATTTCATTCCATTCCTTTGGAGCATGGAATGACTTTTTTATAGTATGTGCATCGGCATGAATTTATGCGCATTGATGTTGCTTGAGAAAGGAATTAGTTTTCATTAGAGCACCATAACTTTAGTATTTAAAATATACTGCCATTATTCAATTAATCTTTCATGAATTTTTCGATAACTCGTTTTATCTAAAAATTCAATATACATTTTTCCTATATTATTTAAAAGTTTGAGCTGAATGTATTAAAAAACGCCAATTTTGTATATTTAGTGATCAAATTTGCAAATAAATACATAAACTTCATAAACGTAATTATATTCTGTTTAACAGGATGCTGTTATAAACGAATTAAAAAATAAAACCAGACTAGTTCAAGAAAAGAAGCTTTTGCAACAGGATGAAGTTTACAATGGAGCACTGGAAGACATTCTTTTGGGCCTTAGATCAGAGCCATATCGTAGAGCAGATGCAGTCCGAAGAAGCCAGCGAAGACGCATAGACAATCACAGACTTTCTCGCACTGCAGAAGAATTGGAGGTGTAATTTAATTTTTTTTTTCTCTGCTTTTACAGAGACAAATTTTTCATGGCAGTTTCGTCTACGAAGTGTACATAAAAAAAATTCAACGCGACATATCGATGAAAATAAGTTGAATTTATCGAATTTATTCCCGCAAGAGATGATGAAACATGCAAAGCATTTGTGAAATTTCTTGACATCTGATGATGAAAAATGCACAAGTCATTGTATTGGTGCTACAGGCTGTATAGTAATTGTATTTTTTTACATGCACGTTTAGCGCATTCATATACGGAAATGTTTGTTTTTACAATTTCTCAATGGATGATGTTTTGACGATGCAAAAAATCACGCAACGCAAACTTTTTATAACTTCAATATCATAATTAAATGATACTTTTCGAAATGAAGATCGATAGTAGTCAAATAAGAGAGCGTTGATATTTATGTGCAAAGTTTTTTTAGTATTTGCATAAAATTATGATTACTCTTATTACTACATTTGTTTCTTGTTGGTTGTTGAACATTTTTTTTCAAATTTATAAAACTACAAATATATTTCTAATTGGTATTATAAGTATTATACTTTTTCCTATCCATTGCTCTCTTTTTATATAAATTAGTTATCATTTGATGCAAACATTCCGATGATTATTTTTAACCGCTATTTAAAGACATCACATGATGTAATTCCGTCAATATGTATAGAAAATATCTATCAATATATTTTCAAAATAATCTATTTGCACTACGTCTTGATACAACTATAATCAAATTTTGCTATTCTCGATTAAAATATTTTATAATATCAATACTATTCAGTAAGTGCACAACCATTTATATAAACATTTACCCGACGGCTTGTTGAATAATACACATTGTCAATACTATAAACATTCCTATGGAAGAAATAGATCCACATAAAATTTAAAAATGACAAGTAACTTTTTTACTGATATAAGAAGAATATATATATTTCAAAATATTTGACAATGACAACTTTTACTTTTAGCGTTTGTTAGTCGAACCGTCCAAAAAAGAAAAGCCGAAAAGCCGTATTTCTCAAATTACATTGACTTCATAAATGATTAACAATTTCCGTATTTTTATGATATATTATACATATTCGATGTAAGTTCGCGTGAAAGTTTTTCGCGATTTCATCAATTTTTCGATACATATATGTGTGCGTGCATACGTGCGTGTGTGTATGTGTGAGTGCGTGCGTCCGTACGTGTGTGCGTACGCGCACGCGTGTGTATTCAAATTGAAATGGTATGAATTTGATAAAATAAAATAGTTGCCTTAACAAAATGACTCTGTCTGCACAGCATTTTTGAGCAATTAAAATGAAGACCGAACCATAACTTTTAAGGTACTTTTATACATCAAACTGATACTAAAAATAAGTTGTACATATTTTTGTATAATATCTGTAAAAGTCAGCACGTCACAAGTGTATGAAAATCTATATAATTATTTCTACATGCTATGTATTCGCCGATTATACGATTAATTTATAATTGTGATGTTTAGGAAACTACGTATACCAATGTATCCTTCAAGTTAATCATATTGCGACTGTGCAGATATTAAACCAGCTTAAATTCAAATCAAAATAAGTCTTTCGTATATATTTTGCGAATCTGTAAATATGTGAATTATCGGTAAGTTACATAAACATTTTCAGAATGCTCGTTTTATTTGTAAAATATATAAATTGGCATCGATTGCATGCAATAAATAAACGAAATATATTATAACTACCTGTCTTACCAATTTATTTACAATCTTTCATTTACCTTAAAGTATCATTAAATAGATATACCAAGATAGTTCGAGGATATCTCCGTGTACTGAAACGCCGTTTTTCAATAAAAAATTGGCCGATCTATTGTAATTTTGATACTGAATGTAGTTGTAAAGAAAAATATCCACTCTTTTAGCTAACAATAAAAATTGTTTCTTTTTAGGTTTTGTAAAGTGTATTTAGAGATAAATGCTTTATGAACTATTTACAATTTCAAATTGTTTACTGGCTAACAATACATTTCCGGCTAAGTATCTCATCATTATAAAGTTCTCATTTTTTAATTACCACATTCATTAATCTCTGAATTGCTTATGTTATTCTTAAATCGTCAGAACAGTAATTTTGTTCACAAAAAGTTTATTTGTCCACCATAAGCTTGTAAACTAAAAATCTTCACCGACCAATCAATCACGATCTTCTTTACCTTTATCGTTCGAGATTTTCAAATGATTATAATAACTTTAGTTAGATATTTTTTAATAACATTCATAGGCACAGCGTCGCAATTTACCAGTCAGTCATAATTTTACTCTTATTGTATTTTGCTAAAAAACTTTTTAACAAAATTTTACTGACATTATTATTCGCGCAAGTGTGAATTATAAAATTCTAATTTTACAATCAATATATTCTAAAAGAAGTTAGATCAAATTGCTTATCATGAGTATTCGCCGTAAGTTCGTTTATTCTCATAGGACTTTCACTTTTCTTTTTGTAAATGTGTAAGTCGTCTACCTTTTAAATTAATTTAAGGATAAACGAATAGTTCAAAACTAGTGAATGAATTCTAAAATCTGTCATTTTTATAAATTAAAAAAGTTAACAAACACATGAAAAACTGCATATTTTGAGTTGTAATTAGCTAAATGTCACACTTTTACTTATGGTGTAGATTAAAAACTAGATTAATTAAAAAAAGGTCTACTTCAAAATTGTTAGCCATTAGCCGCAAAGCTATTTAAAAAAAAACATTCGCAAAATTATGCTTTCAAATGAGTATTTATACTAATGCTCAGGACGTAACAGAATAATGAATCGAGAATATCTCTGAAACATACCCTTTCAAATAAATTCAATTACATTGAAGTCAATTGATCCGTTTGAAAGATATGTACAAAAGGTGCGAATATACAATAGAGACATGTACTAGTAATAGTTTTCATTATCACCGTTTTGTACATTCTAACTTGCACAGCAATTTATATTATAAATTAATTTACAAGACATTTAGAACAATATGTGTTGATTTCTGTATAAACTAAATTATAGTGCTAGATAGAAAAATTGACATAAAAAGATTGTATAAACGAAGAGACTCGATATATTGAGAATAAAAATACACAGATGTTTAATCATTTTAGAAATCAATTTAATTTATTTACAAATATACAATATACAAAAAGGCACAATATTTACATACTTCGGATCATACACAACAAAATGTAATAAACATAACAAAATAGATTCTTGTATACAGTAAATACCTTTTATAAAATGCTTAAGTCCAATGTTTTTGACGCGCGGACAATTATGTACGGTCTTATTATGCACGTAAGCTATTGTGCACAGTAATGCGGCGTGAATCAGCATGTATCAATTCTTACGCTATGTTACTGTACACAATAATTTGTATGTATAATAAAACCGGGCACAATTGTGCGCACGTCATATTTGTCATGTAGAATTTTTTAACAATATTTTTTTTATCAGAAAAAGTTCGACAAATAGACATTTTTATTTTTGAGTTGAAAATATAAAAATATAAAAAATTTTATAGAACACCATCACCTTTGCGTTTCTTATGGTTATTCTTTAAATCTACCTAGATTTATTCCAGTAATTTTCATCATTTTGCTTTGTATATGAATGATGTATGTTTTATTTAAATCAGTACAAACACTATTAAAACGGCTGGGAGTTGCTTGTTTTTTTAACAAATCGTAATTATTTAGCTGCCATTTCAATAACGAACCACCTCTGAGCAACCTGTACAAATAATAATGGCTAAAAAACGCTCTTATTTAACGAAAAATAGCCTAAATTAAATCTTACACCGCATAACAAAGTCTTTGCTTATAAACTTTCCAAAAATGTATCGCAAAAAACCTAAATCTACAGCCATGACGATGAAAGTCTTTGCAAAAAAAAAACGCTTCTTAACTTCATTATTTACAAGCAATTAATTCAGTATACATGTTTCAACTTATTACAGTATTCGCTGAATAAATTACAAAGATACACAACACGTAAGTATTTGCAATTGTGCTTTTTTATCAATCGATAAGTATCGAGAGATTATTAGAATGCAAATATCTGCTCTAAAAACGGTTGCAAAAATTACATTACTTACATAAAAGATTTTTATTAAAAAACAATGCAAATTGATTTAGTGCAGTCGCATTTATGTAAAAAGAAACAAGTTAGTGACAAAAATGAGTACTGTGCCAACGTATTAGATATTCGATGCTTTTTTTATTGTTTGTTTATTAAAAATGAATAGCGATACAGCTTTAGAGATATTAACGAAAGTTTCGAAAGACAAAAGAATGGTCAATATTTGAAAGGCTGCTTTAGAGTTAAATATTTTTTAACGTATATGAAAATAAGATTATTCAACAAACTTCAACCATTTTGGCTTTACGGGAATGTATGTGTCAATTTAAAAAAAAAACTTCAGTTAATGTAAATTGAATTATGTATAAGTGATTACAAAAAAAATAAATAAGTGAATGTATAGTATCGATTCGAATATTTTACCAATCGAAAATATAGAAATAGCAAAAGAAATTGTGTTTTTTTCAATTATATAATCAGCACCAATAACGTGAGTGTTCAAATCAATTCACATAAATAATGATGATTTATCAAAGTCTCTTACAAAGTTTACCTTTTAAGCTAATTTAAAAATGAGATTGTTACTTTTAACGCTCGACGTTTAGAATTAGCAGTAAGGCTTAAAAGATTGTATGTATAGCTCCACACTGTTAAATTACTTTCAACAATTCGATGTATATGTGTACAAAGATAATAAAACACAATCTTTTCGCTTTGAATATTGCTAATGGTGTTGCTGATGATACTGAATTTCAAATTATCATATTGTATTAATTAAAAGAAAAATACAGTTATTCGTTGTAGCAGAATAAGATTTCATGTAACTTTTCAATTTCATAAAAAGGTTTCGACATTTTTTAATAATTATTGCAATTGAAAGTCAATAGACATTTATAATGAATGAATGATTCTTTGGTCATTATAATGATGTTACATAAAATCTTAGGTTAACGAATCGTCAGAAATGCGATATCGATTCATTTAATCGCCTTCAAGAATCACTTTTACGTTTATTTAATTAGAAATAAAAATAACAATTTTAGCACAACTAATTAGTAGGAATAGAGAAATGTTCCTACAAAACACAGTTTTCGACCCTAGTTGTTCAAAAGTTGAGGAAAAAACTTTTTCAGAGCAATGTGTATTCAAAACAATTAGTAGCATAAAAAAACGTACGTAAATTGAAAGGAATTTTCATAACAACATGTCTAACTTATAAATTTGGAATATTCTATTATAGAAACCAAAACTCTTTCATCCAATTAGGGACGTAAGGATAATACTGATTGCAATGATTGTAACAAAGTTAAACCAATTCATTATTTTACAATAATTGTGGAATAGCTTTTCGAAGATTCCTAATTTTTCATTATCTTGAATCATTTTCGCACAGTTAATATAATGTTAATTGTTCATTGGAGATTCATGAACTTTAAAGACTTTTACCCATGGCACATTTACCTATGTGTACATTTGGAAGCCTCAGAGCTACTATCACAATTTTAGAAAAAATTGAGCTCTAGTCTTTAAAAAAATACCAATTTGTGCGCAGTTAGTTAGTGAAAAAAATGTACAAAATTGAGCTGCTCCATTTGTATTTAACATTATAAAACGCAGATTATATATAAAAAATATTGCTCATTAATATCGCAAAAATTTGTATATACGTTAGCAAAAAAATTTATAAAAAATGCTTCGTTGTCCTGATTCCGATCATATGGTTAATATTAAGCAATTTATCAAATCATTCAATTTTTCGTAAAAATTCGAACACAAATTGGTTCATTTCATTTGGTTTTTATGGCATGGATCTAGTATTTGGTTTCTTTAATATCTAACTTTACAGCAGATTTTAATAGTACGCGCGATTCTAAGTAAGAAATAAATTATTGCATATTTAATAATCTGGCAAACTGACAAGAGAGATTTAACGTGTATAAATTTTTCAAAATTTTTCAAAAGGTTAATGGAGTACCTATATATAAAATCTCAAAAATTTGTGCTGTTGAAATTGCTTTCAAATTGTTTTTTATCTGTGTAAATATTTATAAATCCACTATTGGTTATTGACAACGTATAGTTTACTTTTTTTATTATTTACACGATATAATTTTATAATAATCAGTAACTCACTTTCATTTTTCAATACGTTTATCAAAAGAGGGATGGAAATCGATGTTAGAAAATCTACAAACTCAAAATTTTTCACTACTGGACGATTTCCACCTCATTTTTAAAATACCTCTATGCGAATATAACGTTTAACGTAATGACGTTAGAGATAAGTTCTCTTTAACTCCCGTAATTCTATAAATATAAATATATTGTCTTTCAAATAATAGATGCTAATTCATATTGCAATATTCTTATAAAATGGAGTCTCTCTTATATCAGTTTATCTAGATAAACGTCGGTTGCATACCTTATTTTTATTACTACTGCTAAAAGTCTTGTATACTTTGTTATTTGGGCGCTTACTGCAGCATCAGAGATTCCAAATTTCTGTGCAAAATGGTATCTTTGACGGCGTTGAAAACAACTTTGATGTTTTCTGTGTCAACTGCAGTTGTGAAGTGATGAAACAGTGACTTCTTTGGGTCCCTCTTGACTGACACAAATAGGTCTAGTATAAAATTTTGAACATCTTTCATGGAATGTGGATCACCCTTGAATTGTGGAAAGTACCAACTAACATTTGTATCTCTTGATTTGACTTTTTTGTCCAACAAATCAGTTTTGTTCAGAAACAATATTACGGACACTCCATAAAATATCATGTTATTGATGATGGTATCAAAGATATTCTTTGATTCTTCTAATCTGTTAGTCCGCCTACCAACAAACACATATGATTATTGTAAAATTCAGAAAATAAATTAATAACTCTATGTTGAATAATATTTTACCTATCTTCTAATAAAACTTGATCAAACTCTGAAGACGATACTAAAAATAGTATGGATGTAACACAGTCGAAGCATTGATACCACTTTTGCCTTTGTGATCTCTGTCCACCAACATCAACAAATAAGAAGGGTATGTTGTTTATCTGAATAGAAAATTCTGATATTCCTTTCGTAGCTTTTCGACAGTGTAAAATATCTTGATGTGTTGGGATATAATCCTACAATTTTTTAATAATCAATTAAAAATTACTTTTTTATCAAAAGAAATTCGTTTTTCAAATAAGCTCTCAATTAGCCTTACCACTCGAGCAATCCTATCAAGGTTATCCAGAAAGTACTGCACTGAGTCACTCTAAAATCAAACAAAACTTGATCAGTATCAATTGATATCATCTTTGATGGTATATATAAGCTATCAAGTGACTTCTTGATAAATCAAATGAAATATTTAGTACTATTAATAGAACATAAAAGAATTTGTCATGAACAAAAGTATAGTGTAGTTAAGTTAATGAGGAAATATAATATTCAACAGATATTAATAAATATTGTACTTGCACGTACCAACTGAAATTCCCTTCTTCTGTCAAAGGCTGTTCTAATGGACGAGTCTTGCCAAAGACTTTGTAAAGCTGGTACATAGTGAAGAAAGAGGCGTGCATCTAATATCATTGTATTTTCAAATTTTAGCAATTGGTAACCAATATCATAATTTTTAGGATGCTCCCAAGGGATGTTCAATTTGTCACGTGCATCCACCAAAACTTTCATACCCTTGATAATATTCTGATAGATCACGTGCTGATATTCTTTAATTAGGTCAGGCTGGAATACAAAAAATGAGTTTTATGTTCAAATGATGATATTACAAATAGTTGAAAATATCAAATAAGTCATACAAACAAATGTGTAATCACTGTAAGACATGTAGTAATGAATACAGCAATAGGATTACAAATTTGAGATTTTAATCAAGTTGATTTTTTATTTACATAAGATTAGATATTATAAAACTTAATTGACAATAACTTGTGCTATGAAAGCTGTTACAAATTAATGTCTTTATGAAGTAGCGAATGTAGAGCAGCAGTCAATATGAAGGAAAAATAGCGTATTAAAAGATGATTAAGATCCAGAATAAACAATACAGGTACTCTCTGTCATTGTTAGTTGACCTACTGATTAGACATTTGCGTCAATTAGGAACAAAACAATGGTAACCAGGTATAGGGCATACCAGGTAGTTGAACATAACGCACCTCGAACTTGATGCCATGAATAATCCTCATCTGCTTGAGGAAGGTGGACTTGCCGCTCTCTCCAGCTCCCAACAGCAGGAGTTTGACCTGTCTACGAAAGGCTTGCCTGTCTTTTTCCAGCATTCTGTCAATTTCTTGACTCTTGTACCTCTGTTCAATTTCCTCGGGGCTGAACTTGAACCTCAGGCACCAAGTGCACGACCACGTTAGGGGACCCGCCATTTTGCGACTGATACCCTTTCACCGGGGATACTCCTCGAGGCGACGAGAAGTCGCGACGGACACTGCTGCTGGGCTCACTCTTGCGTACACACAAACACACGCGTGCGTACGTTCGCGCGTGCACAGCACACACACAGGCAACGACAAGAAGCGACGGGACACTCGGTCGTCACAGACCACTTCTCGACGAGGACGTATGAGCAAGTCGGTGCGAGTTTGAGGTCAGTGTGCTCGTCGCTGGGTCGGTGGAGCGGCAGCTGTATATATAGGCGTGGGTGGCCGGTAAAGGCACAAAAGCTGGCACACGGCGGCAATAACGCGCGCGCGCACTGCTTGCGGTTATAGTCGGTCAGTTTGCGGTGCTCTCTTTCTGTTCGTCCGACTGTCTGTCTCTCACACGGCTAGCATTTTTTTTCTTTTTGCTCGTGCAACTTGGTCGCGCGCGGGACGACGTGTATATGGCGCGCCCGTCTCGGCACTTTTGACGCGCGTGCGACAGACGGACGCGAAAAATCCGCTCGCTCGCTCGCTCTCTCTCTCTCTCTTTCTCCGCTCTCTTCACAGCAGCGCAGCGCCGCTCTCGCGGAATTTGCGCTCACGAACACAGACACACCAACACGTCACAAGGAACACACAGATGCCGAACGAGGAGCGCTCTCTCTCTCTCTCTCTTTCACTCTTTTATTTTGCACCTTCGCGGACCGGCAAGTAGCAGCAGCAGGTGACGACGAGTATACGGCGATGAAGAAGACTGTTGGACGATTCCTCGCTCATGATTGAATAATCTGCGCGAGTGAGCAAGAGAGAGCGGGAGAGCCGGATATGCGTACGGTGGGTCATGTCACACCTGCGAGAATTTCGCGCGCTCGGGTGGGAGTATAAACTTGCAGTCCACTTCCTCTATAACTTTGGCACGAGCGTTATATATACGTGGGCGCCTCGAAATATGAGCGAGGCTGCAGATAGAGGCGCGCTCGGCCAGCGGCTTATAATAACGCGCGAGCTAGTCGCTCTCCTTTTTCCTCTCTGTCCACTGTATACGAAGCAACTAATGCACGGCGAGACAGCCGAGCGGCGGCTACCGTGGCAGCAGGGAGCCTACTTTGCTCTTTCAATTATTACGAGCTCTCGCTTTCTTCCAATTGGTTACTCTCTCTCGATAGAATGTACACACGCCGTATATTTTCCCTGGACTCAGCTCTTTTAATCTCGCTCGACCGAGAACTCGATGCTCTCTCTTACAAGCGACGACGCTCGCCTGTATACCTATACGAAAGCGCACACCTTGCCACGCAGTGCTCGGGCGCGCGCTGTACGTGGGTATTAAATCTCTCTTTCTTTCTCCTCCGCGGACACACATAGAGCTCGCGCGATGAGAATTGTGCGCGATATATAGAGAAAAAGAGAGAGAGAGAGAGAAAGAGAGAGAGAGAGAGAGAGAGAGAGAGAGAGACGTCGCCGTCGAGGCGGAGGACTAACGGTGTGTTTGTTTTCTCTGTCTGTCTTTCTCTCTCTCTCTCCCTCTCTCGTGCGGTCGCCACAGGACGCCACGCCATTCGGCCCGTGGCCGCTTATGACCTGGGGCCACGGAAAATTTATTTTTCTCCGCTCGCTTCATTGTGCACCCTCGAGAAGCAGACGGCACAGATCGAGGGGGAAAACGGGCAGACGCGCGGCGACGCGCTGGCGGCGCTCTGACTAACGATCGCGCGTATATATATACGCGCGGTAGCGTGATTTCACTTGGAGAGACCGATGCACGATAATCCTGCGATTTCCACGTTAGTCATCGGCCTTTTGCTTTTATCTCCCGATGTGTACGTAACGGCGGGAGCATCGCGATTGGAGATTAGCTGCCGAGAGGTTCCTGCTTTTCGAGTTGTGCCTCGTGCGCGCGCGGCTATACTCGTCCAGTCAAAATATACCGCATGCATTTGAAGATGTCAAGAGAGTAAGGAAAGCGTGAGAAACCGATGGCGGTACACGCACGAGTGATCGCTCCATATTTTTCGATTGCCATTATTCAGATTTGAATGGCGCTCTTTGCCCGGAGAAAAGATCGACTATAGTTGTAATTGTGACTAATGTTAGCTCAATTAGGACCAATTTTATGATTAGTCGTAATAGAGAACACAAATGTTGAATGAAACCAGTTAATTGCCGGATCAACGACGATTACACGACGGTGATTTATTTGAAAAAATGTGAGACTCAACATTATGTTGTGCAGTGATAATGCGACATTGCACTTATACGACACTGCACTTGTTACATGTTGAAATCAGATACATACGTTTAATACTTGTCATTTTCCTGACTAAGTAGATTTTGGCGCATTCGACAACACTGGCATTTTTTTTAATGTAACGCAGGTTTGGAGCTCGAAAAAATGAGGAAAAAATCGAGAAAGTTGAATTTGTTAAAGAATAATAGGTGTAAACGCGTCATTGAAAGGGCCCAGCTATCACTTGGCCAAATCTAGTGACAATTATATTAACTTTACTATAATTTTCTACTGCACTGCCAACAACAGCAATATGACGAAAACATCTACTAAATCAATAAATAGCAGTTTTTAAATAATTTTCAATTTTAGAGTTATCTGTTAAACCTCTTGATTTGTCACCAATTACATATATGTATTCAAGTAAATACAATTTAGACATTAATATTAATACTTTATCGAAATAAATAATATAATAACATGATGAAAAAATCTCACGTTGATGCTGAATTTACATTTTCTCAATTTCTATTTTCTTCAATAGTCCCCGCTTTTTGTACGCATGCGTGACGCCTATGAAAAATGCAAAATTTCTCATGCATGATGGCGCTTCAGTCCAGTCAAGTCTCGAGCGAACGAAGCTGATTAGGCACGTCAAGCGTCGTAGCGTCCAAAACCAAGCATTGAACCTTAATGAACAGTCGATTGTTGTTCTGGTACTTGTAAGGATATTTAAAGTATTAAACAACAATGTCTTTGGCCGATGAACTTTTAGCAGATCTTGAGAGTGACGATGACATTACTCCAGATGAGCCACAGCCAGAACAACCCTTTCCAACATCAATTGCTTCTAAGCTGACAGAAACAGGTTAGTTTGCTGTTGACACATTTTGTTTTATTATAAGAAGTAATATTATAATGCACTTCCATTGAAAACGTTCGCTAAAATAATTTATTATTTGTCAATATTTTTATTTTATTAGAAAATATTATTTCCAGTGAGTTTTTTCACTAAGTTTAGATGTAGTTCTCTAATTTTAGGTTAAGTATTTTTTATTTTAACATTGAGATTCTGTTATAGATGTAAAAGTTGATTCGATCAGACAACTAGCGAAATTAAGGGATTCGCCTATTGTACAGAAAGTAACCTCTCAAATCGAAAAATATGGAAAAATTGCAAGAAAATGCTCGGACATTATAGGTCCGGTTGAGTCTGACCCTGAATATCAATTGATAGTTGAAGCTAATAATCTGGCTGTTGAAATTGACTCTGAAATTGGTGAGTCTTAATTTATATTAATTTACATACGTTTAGCTTTTAAAATAATTGTTTATTATTTACTATCTTAATTTCCAGCAACAATACATCGATTTACTACTAGTAAATATTCAAAAAGATTTCCAGAGCTTGAGTCTCTTGTTGTTGAACATTTAGAATACTTAATGACAGTTAGAGAATTAGGAAATGACTTAGATAAAGCCAAAAATAATGAAATATTGCAACAATTCCTGACACAAGCCACAATTATGGTTGTCACTGTAACTGCATCTACAACACAAGGGTAAGCATCTTCGTTTTTATGAAAAATTTACCAATGAAACACAGTAACTATTTTGAGTATCATGATTTCAGCATTTCAATAAATTTATTCTGAATCAAGAATTCCACTGATGGAAAATTTCAAAAGTTTTTACTGTATAGTGTCATTGTGATTCATAAACTCTGTAAGTAAATTTGAGTAAAAATAATAATAGTTTATATTTATTTTAGACAATTGCTAACACCAACAGAGCTCAATGCTGTTAATGAGGCTTGCGATATGGCAATTGAGCTCAACAATTTAAAACAACGAATATATGAATATGTGGAGAGTAGAATGGCTTTCATAGCTCCAAATCTATCTGCAATTGTAGGTGCTTCAACAGCAGCCAAGCTTATGGGTATTTATCTAGATTAATTTTTTAACTAATGTTAAAATTTGATTACCTATTAATTCATTAATTTTTTATTACTACAGGTGTTGCTGGAGGTTTAACAAAATTATCCAAAATGCCATCTTGTAATATTTTACTTTTGGGAGCTAGAAAAACTACTCTTTCTGGTTTTTCACAAGTAACAGCATTACCACACACTGGGTTCATTTATTATTCAAAAATTGTTCAAGATGCTCCTCAAGTAAAAATTATAAACAGTTGATGCTAAACTTTCTTACATCTTTACTTTTCAACTTGTATTACAAAGATAATTTTTTTCATAGGATGTACGTAGAAAAGCTTCCAGACTTGTTGCTGCAAAAAGTACATTGGCTGCTAGAGTTGATGCTTGTCATGATAGTACTGATGGTCATATTGGACAACAATTTCGAGAGGAAATAGAAAAAAAGCTTGACAAAATGTTGGAACCACCTCCTGTTAAATTTGCGAAACCATTGCCAAAACCAATTGACCCTGGCAGGAAAAAGCGTGGTGGAAAGAGAGTTCGTAAGATGAAAGAAAGATATGCCATTACTGAGTTCAGAAAACAAGCCAACAGAATGAATTTTGCTGATGTATGTATTTGAAGAAATTAAAAATACTCCATTGTATATTTTACTTTGTTTTTTTAATTTAGATAACAATATTTTGTTATTTTACAGATTGAAACGGACGCATATCAAGAGGATCTAGGCTATACTCGCGGTACAATAGGAAAATCTGGGGCTGGAAGAATCAGAATGCCACAAGTCGACGAAAAGACAAAAGTGCGTATTTCAAAAACGTTGCAGAAAAATTTGCAAAAACAACAGCAATGGGGAGGTAGTACAACAGTAAAGAAGCAAATTTCGGGAACTGCTTCAAGTATCGCATTCACACCACTACAGGTATTTATATTTAAGCTTCTGAATGTATTCCTAATTCTATTATCAACTTTCAAAATACTAACAACTTTTTTCTAATTTTCAGGGATTAGAAATTGTTAACCCACAAGCTGCTGAAAAGAAAGTGAATGAGGCTAATGCAAAATATTTTTCAAATACATCAGGCTTCTTCAAAGTGAAGAAGACATAATATGTAAGATTTTTATTTGAATTCATTGAAAAATGTGTTCGGAAAAGTTAGGTTTTAAAAATATAAGAATAAAAACTTATTTTTATAAACTGTTTCATTCGATTTCAAAGCTTTTCTTATCTTACACAATGTTACAGACAATTCCTAAATAATATATATTTACAATTTTATTAGTCTAACTGAATTAACTGATTGTACTTTTAAAAATTCAAGCTACACAAGTATTTATTTTGAAAATGTCGAAAATTAAAATTTAAACATAGAATGGATACGTTATAATCAGTTCATCTGTCTGAAATATAAACTAGTCTCCTCTTTAAATGTGTTTTTATTTTATTTATATGAATTAATTAATGTTATTTGATTATTTGAATACAATTTTTTAGTATTTAATAATAATATAATATAATATATAATTTTATAATTAAACATTACAACGACAACAATATAAGAAAGTCAAGCCAAATGGTTTTCCTCTTTTAAAATGATTAGAAAACCATATTCGGTTTATTTTTTGCTCAAAATTCAGAGCCTTGCAGAACTTTGTCAATTGTAGCAGTGCATACAATTGACAAAGCAACTCAATACAACTCAAAATAAAGTAAGTGACACATTTGAATGAGATTTGAATGTTTTTAAAGGCTTTACTTATTTTTTATTAAATTTAAAAAACGTAAAAAATCACGTTTTAGTTTGTATTGATTGATTATAAGCTTAGAGCGTAGAGTGTTAAGCTATTCGTTTATACTAAAAGAGCTAATAAAACCTCTCGATCTGACTGGAAATCTGAAAATTAAGAATAGTGACCGAGACAATAAATAAGAAATTGAACAAAACAGAGATGTATATACGTAACTCACTTGAAAGTACGCGCAGGTAGTACAAGTAAATCATTACTGAAAGTATGTGATAATCGTTTTATTGATTCTGAATGATCTTATCCACACACGATGGTTATGGTTGAGGACCGATTGTGGAACTTCTACTGTGTTGTAATCTATCAATAAATCTAAAAAATTCTGGAAATTTTTCACTACAGAATCATTTGGCACTAATAATATTTCCAATTTTAAGAATATAATAGTTACGTGGTACATATGCAGTTCCAATATATCTGCGTACTGAACAGTATCAATGTACATAATTAAGTAACGTTAACAACATTGAATAATGCTTGTATACCTGTTAACAGTTACCAATGCGTGTGACGGAATGTCAAGAAGAATTTTCATGTCGCGACACAGAATGACATCAACAACTGTCGCGTTGTACAGAGTGAATAATTCGTGTAAAACGTATTTGTATCGTATATCCAATGTCAGAATTGAAATTAATCCAACGTTACCAATAAATTGTTTTCTACGAAATAATAGTCTGCAAAAAAATTTTTCGAAATAAATCATCAGTCTTAGTTCTTATTAAAATTATTGTTCATAGATAGCGATCCTCGACGGCTGCATTCGGAAGGAATTTATATGACAAGTCGCTTGCGCTGCTTTAAAAATAATTGTTCTGGCCACGCTGCATATGGAGATTGAAACTTGGACACTTTTCTCTTATTAGTATTTTGTCGTCAAAGTAAAATTCACGTGAAAAACCCGTTTATAAATATCACTTTCAGACATTTTCTTGTTTGAATGGCAACTTTTCAGCAATAACAATTTTTCTTCGCCGTTAGAGTTCAATAATAATAATACAATAACTTATACACATCAAATTTTAATTAGATAACTTGAAAATTAGAAGAATGCAAGTGGCTCAAGCACATGCAGATAAATGTTTACTGAATAAGCAAAAAGTTCTTTTTTCGCTTCTCACAAAAAACTATCAGTTCTTGTACAATGAATCTCATAATTATAATAAAAATGTCACACTCGCATCACAATATTAATCATACTTACCAAATGTGAATACGGTGTATGCAAAACTATATGACTGTGAAATGCTTACGCATTTGGAGAACAATGCTTCTTAATGGAATAGTTAAATTATATGCAGTACATTTAAATATAACAGCAGAAAGAAAACCGAACAAATTTAATAATCATAAAAACAACCCTCACCTTTCCAAAAGTGGTAGGGAGGACTGATCTGCAGAGTTCAAAGTGAACTTAGTAACGATAAAAAAAATTATAGCAACATAGAGAAAAATTTTAAATAATGCAAGCAACTCGCTCAGTGAATATTTTACCAAGCAGTGCTCTGACTTCAGGATTTTGTACTTTGCGTGAACTCGCGCCTATATACGAGTTCTGTACGTGCATATTTTTCAAATTCTTCAGTACACGTAGTTTTCTGTGAAGAAAAGATAGAGGGAGAGACCGAGCGAAGACACGTCCCGATATTCCCTTCCTCTTTGCTCCGAGTCGATATCAGTCGCTCATTCGAATTCGCTCAGTGTATAATTATCATTACACACGGACGTTGCTCTGCTCTCACGCGCGGTGACGTTAGCGCGTGTGCGAATGTACTCTCTCTCTCTCTCTCACTAGCGGAAAACGTGCCCGGGCGTTGATTCGTCACACGAGCACTCAATCATATTCGCGCGCGCACTGCAGTGTTGGAAGAACGGCGCGAATGTGGAAACGATGAACGAGCGCTACAGAGTAACCATGGCCACTTTGGAGGAGTTTGAAAGTGCTTGGGAGCTACTGACAAGCAGCGGAGTCTGGGCGGGAAACGGTGCGTTTGCTTGCTTCTTCCTCTTTGCGATATCACCGGGTGGACTTTCGCGCACGCGCGACACGAGCTCGCTCGCGAGAACGACGATCCGGCGCGCTGCAAAGCTACCAGGGCCGCCCTGCACTCGAAGCCGAGGATTGGGTCGACGAACGAAAATTCGACTGCTTCTCGCAGGAATAACATTCGGTCGATCTCGGCGGAATGGCAATGAGGCAGGGGGACCTGGCGAGGTATGCCATTGACGCGCGGCACGCCAATCGTGTCGATCAATGAAACGAGCACCCCGAGACCGACGGAAAGCTTTCGTCCGTTCGCGTACGGAAATCCACTTTCTTGACGTTTGAGCGCAGCATCCGCTGCGAACGTCAGTTGTGAACGTCGCGGAGCGGCAATCAAGTAATTGGATTGGCAAGGTCCGTTTATTTATGTTGGCGCGGCTGCGACGTTGCGTCAAGCCGATCGCGCCTCAGCGTATCCCATATCGCGTAACGCTCGCGGCTACGCGCGTCTGCGTGTGTACCTACCTGTTAGCGAAGGATATCTCGTTTGTTTGGTAAACACCGAAGGCACGGCGAACCGGTCGGCTCGGAGAAGCGCTCCGAGCGGTATAATATTCTATTTCCCCGGCGATGACGCGCCGCCGCCGGACGGTCGAGTGGCTGACGGCGATTTCAAATTGTTTCTAATCGCGTCGATGCCCACTGTCGCGTCGACAGGCCCGCGTGTAATTCGAAAATACCTGTCGAGCGTTGGTGGAATTGCGTCCGCTGCAGTATTTTGACGAGCGCGCCGATCTCACTTGGACGTGGACGGGTAACGTTTTTCCCACCAAGCTGTCATTGCGCACGAGATTCTCGTTGGTGTTCCTAGGCCGAGAATGGCCTAATTTGCGGATCATCGAGTTCTCATTGATCGCCATTAGATGGTTTCATGTTCTACAGTATCGTACAGTCCTGTTGTCTTTCTAATAGCTATAACTTATTTGTTGAAACTCGTAACGATCTCTACAAATCTCTCTTTCCGCAGTGTTTTTCGCTGTCCGCGGAATCCGTTTCATGAAACGTTGCAATCTTACAACTCGCGTGAATTCAATTTCGAGACGCGCGAAATCGAATTGAGGCGAGCTCTGATACGAATCGCATTTGGCGACGAAAATGCGTTATACGGCAGCCGGCTCGACCGTTACAAAGCCATGACTAGGACAGCTGCACAGCATCGCAAAGAGATGCAGCCCGCGCGATAAGATGCGCGATAAAGAAAGTTCGCGAGAAAGAAAGCAAACGGAAGGCCAACGATCGCTAGCATCGTCCGTAGCATGCGAGGTATCGCGGAAAGAAGGCGTTGCGCGAAAATAGATCAGCCGGTTTCGCGCCTCGCTATAAGAGGCGCCTGACGCGGTCGTCGCTAGAATTTTCCACAACCGACGCCCGCGGGTGAAACTCGTCGGCCCGACGAGCGCGGATTGGGCGACCGCGCCTGTCGGCAATCAGAGCGCGATCGCCTATTGCGGACCGAGCGCCCGTGCATCTTCACCGTTTATCTTTGCTATGCCTCGGCCTCGGCCTCCTCCTCCTCCTCCTCCTCCTCGGGTTTGTTATTCTCGTTGTTGCGGATCGGATATGACTTTCTATACCGACGAAAAAGACTATATATATAAAAAAAATAAAACAGGCTTCCTTTGTTTGGCCGGAATTCAATCTCGGATAATATTATTTCCGCGTTGCATTGTCTGCGCGTACTCGTATCCCGCGATGAGTTTTGCTTTTCGCAATTAACTTTACACCTGCGCATTATTCTCATGCATTTTTCATGTCTCGATGCTTTCATTTCGAATCTGCGTTTTATTAGCAACTGTTTTGTTGCGCTCCGGCGTAGGCTTCAATTTTTTTTTTTTCTTTCGAGAAAACGATTATAGTTTATATTTCAAACATGAATTCATTAAAATAATGCTTGTTTCGTTAAACGTCTAATTTTATGCTCACGCGCTCGCTGATAACGCTACTTGATGGCGCTTCGAAGAAAATTAATTTTGAATACTGATACGAACATTAATAAAAAGAATTGGCTGAAAATTCTTGCGTAATGTGAGAAGAAAAAAGAGCTTTTTCGCATGATTTTACTTTAATGCCTTCAATTAGATTATGAATTAACTGTAACACTGTACGGTTCCGAGTAATTTTGTAAGATTATTGAATAAGAGTTACAGTTACATGGATGTTAAGTATTCCCACGATTGTATATTTCGCCATCTGATACGTTGATGTAATAAAGCACAGCTAATTTTGGTCGACTCTCCGCATTGAATTCAAACATTAACACGAAGATCACGGTAAAAATACGCGAAATGTACACGCGCGTGCTTTTTCAAACGTTACAGACAATACGCCAATAAGATACGAATATCCGATACACTCGGAATACACGCACATACATTTCCGCTCACCCAATTACAAGTACACGCGGCAGGTTCGAAGCGTGTCGTAACGCACGCGAGTGGACGCTGTCGCGAACGGTTCATTTTCGTAATTCGCGCGCGCTGCCT